GTATTTTTCTCGTAATCACGTGATTTGCGCCTTCCAACTATCGAGAAGAATTCCCGAAAGTATTATCGTATAACGAAGGTGGGACTGATGTTTTTGTGTTTTTCATATTTCATTATTCATGTTTTAATATAATTCCTCATTTTCCATATTTTTATCAAAAAATTATGTATTCTGTATAGATACGTACACAGAATTATCATAAAACTGGAAATCAAGATAAAATCGAGGAATTTTGCAAAATATTCTGGAAAATTAAAATTCTTGACTTTACAGAAGTTCAATATACATATACGTAGTTTTGGAATACTATCAATTTAACAATTAAATGCAAACATTAGTAATATTATAATAATAGGTAATTTACATTGCTACGTTAAATTGTTCTCTCCACACAATATTTGACTTTCCAACTCGGGACGAAAATGCAAAAAATTTCAAAATATTGAAAGCCAGAGAAAATTATGAAATTTAGTTTGGAAATCAATGCAGGAGAATTATGGAACTTTAGGATGAAGATTTTTGTTGACAACTCTACATACGAATACGTTTATATAATCCCGTCGTATTACTGCGACAAGAGATTTCTTTGTTGATGTAGAGTTAAAGGAATCGCAGGTAGCAGCTAATTCCGAATGTTCGCGAGGGAAAAGAGACGTACTTTGGTATTTCGTTGTTGACGCCAGTCTGGACCCGCGCCGGAATGTCTTACGTCACGCGCGGCTGCATTACAAATTTTTGATGGAATGTGCACCAGGTAAGAGGGGGAGAGCGAGAGAGGGGAAGAGAAAGGAAGGAGGAGTACCGGCTTTAATCCGAGAGCAAACGAAAGATACGATAATAATATTTATCGGCGGCGGCGGTGGCGGCGGCGCGGCGTCGACGCGGGTTCCGGGCAGGCGGGAAGGAATGTCGATGTACGGTATATTTATTTCGGGCGAAATACTGCGGCCATGATGTCATCGTCGATTTTCGAGAGATTGCCTATGTGGCGGAGGCCGCGCGATTCTAGTTTCGGGATCCCTTGCGTCCAAAAGCCCCTCTCGGCTCTCGCCGTCGCGTCGTCGTCGTCTCGTCGTCTCGTCGACAGCTGCTCTCTCGCCCGCGTCGCGCCGCGCCGTGACGTACACCGTGAAATTCGCATGATCTCGAGAAGAAGGCAGATATTTCAGCCGATTGCACAAGAAATACTTACATTTTCCTTTTTGCTTAGATTGTGTAGTTCAAATAAATTCATTAAAATTGTGTACTTTGATTATTTTTCGGAAAATGACAATGTATATACAAAAAAATTTTGATAATATCAACTGACATTTACGACTAAATATATGAATTTATGACGACATATTTATGTAAATATATTTATGTAAATATAATTATTTATATTTTTATGTAATATATCAATTTTTTTAATAGCAATAAAATTAAAAATTGAAAAAAGGTCAAACTAGATGTTAAATATATATGTAGATAGGAAGTTTATATGAATATAAAAAGTTAAACAAAGTTCTTTTTGTATTGAAATAAAATGAGTAACCTTTCTGTTGTGGTATAAAAAAAGAAATACGGAAAAAATAAATAAGGAAGTGAGCAAAAAAATATAGACTAGGAAATTCGCAGAATCTCTTTTGTAGAAAATATAATAGTTGGATACATTGTAGGAAATACAAGCTGACAACTTATTATTACTCATAAGCTCTTTTTCTTAGAAAGAATACTTCCTTTTCAAGCGAGAACATCTATTGTTGATAATAATAAAGAAACTGAGATCTTTCAAGAGCACTACATTTGATGTCTAAATCAAAACTCACTGGTAAAACTAACTGGCAACACTTTGAACTAAAAAATTAATGCAATGAATCTCAACCTATAATCATAATATCAAAGGAAGAGAAAAGAAACTTGTAACTAAAAACTTTTTAAAAACTAATTTAAGAAGAGAACTTATATGAAAAAGAATTTAAAAAAAGAGTTTTAATGAAGTTTCTGTCAAGAGACTATAAAAAATATAAAAATGACTATTTATTTCACAAGTCGGCAGGAATGTTGAAATTAGAATTCTATTTTAAACAATACGAACACACACACACACACACACACACACACACACACACACACACACACATACACACATACACATACACATATACACATACACATAGACATCAATGCATATTATTTAGAAGATTTTACAGATTTTCGAAGAAGTATATGGAAATTAGGTGTATAGATACTAAAAGCATCATAAAGATTCCATAAAAGCACTGTGTTACTATTAAAATATTTTGATATGTAAGAAAGAGAGAAATTAAATCGCTACGTTTATACCTATACCGGATAAGGCATTTGTCCTCCTAAATTGGGGGAATTTCACGCTGTGCAGCCACGCGGCAAAGTTCTTAGGCTAAACTGTTTCTCGCGTTTACGTTATACACACTGCGTCTACCTCTTTTCATGACGAAAATTTAGTTTCAGAGGATACAAATTCGATTTTTCATAAATATTACATGAATAAATAAATTTCTAATAATTTATATTTACAATAAATAATAAATAATTGAATGATTTTTAATAATTTTAATTGAAATTGATTGAAATGATTTTTATTATTAAAAATATATTTTAGAAATATATTTTTTTTCTTGTATACGCAAAACTACAGCCTGAATCTCTTTGATCTAGATGGATATTTTTATACCTAACTCTGATATACAAATGATATAAAAGAAAGATACTTTTCGACATTTTTTTTCTAAGAGATTTGTTAGAGATCGTAAAAAATATAATTATAAATTAAAAATTCAAGTTCATTTATGTTAAATTATGGAATATAAATATGTAAATAAAGAATTTTGTCCTCTTTTTATTATAAATTCACGTTTTACGATTTCATAAATTTGATATGTATATTCTTTTTACATAGCATTGCCAGTCTTTCGGATTCTTAAAGTATAATAAGAATTTTAAATATTCGTCAAATCTCGCTTTTACAGTTATAAGATTAAAAAGCAATTCGTGACCGCGGATCGTACAATGCAATATTCAATAATTTATCATTTGCGTCATTGATCCTCTTAATTAATTTATTGAATTTCTAGTATCTAATTTCTAGTATAAAATATATATCTACTTATGTGTTTCAAGCGCAAACACATTTACTGGGGTAAACATGTTTACGCGGGAATGATATAGTTCGAGTATCCTCAGATGGATACATCCTTTAGCGTCACAAATTAACAAGCAATGCGGTGTAATCCTCGCGTGTGTATGTATGCGTGGGAAATAAGATATCCAAACCCAGATCGTTGCTAAGAGATAATGTGTAGGTACATCCTTAAAATTCTTGAAATATCCGAGCAACGCTCCCATCAAAGATATACAATCTTGATACCAGTGCAGATTTTTTTCTTTTAAATATTTCTTAAAACTCATAGATAAAAACTGCAGAGTTTCCCTTTTTCAATTTTATAATAAATAATTTATAAAATGAATTTCTATTATAACTATTACTATTCAATTTGAAGAGCATTTTTATAAATAACTGGAATTTTTCACATTGTATTACATAAAAAAATTGTTACAATTTTAAGATAATTTTGTTGTTATGAAATTTATGTCGTATACTAAGAATAAAATTCTAAAACAAATCCAACCAGAATGGCATTTTGATGAGATTAAACTGAATTTCTGATTATCATAACTATTTTCATTTCAAAATGTTGTTCTGTCTTTTTGTTGGTTTAACCAGAACATTTTTCTCTGTGTAGAATTTTATTATTTCTTTATCATCAGCTCTAGTAAAGATAAGGTTACTTTTAATTAAACACAGATAGTATCCAGTAAAATAGAGAGATAATCTTTATTAATGCATATCTTTACTAATTTAATCTTTTCGTTTATTCGGAAAACTTGCGGAAATTACGGCGCTTGGGAGTAGTTTCACGTGAGGAACTCGCGGCTTCCTTCCTTGGGAGGTTTCACGCGTACGTACGTGTCATACGCTGCGTGCGTGCGTGCGTGCGTGCGTGCATGCACACTCGCGCGCGAACGTAACACAGACAGCCGAGGCTTGCATTCCGATGCAAATAGCCCTCTCCGCTGCCCGTTCTCTTCTCTCTTTCTCTTATTCGCTCCTCCCGTCTCCGGCATCGTGCCGAGGCTCTCCGCGCTCGTTCAACGATGGATAAAAGCCGTGGGCCAGTAGCGTCTCACAGCGACTCGGGGCTGATGTGTACGATGCTGTGTACGATGAGAGAAAAATGTAAAGTAATATGCGCTAGAATTCTAATAAATTTCAGGAAGTCATCAGAAACACCAAATAGGCATTCACTTATATATAAAAGTTTACTTTCTTTTCTGATAAATAAGCGAACGTGTAGAGCCGTATTGTGAGATATTTTTTACATTTTTACCTACAAGGTAAATAAAGTCTTGAGAATTCATGCTTACAATCTTGAGAATAGTATGATTTATTTTACTGTAAGACAATCATTTGAATGGATTTATTATAATTGTAATACACTTTCTAT